CTGAAATGTAGAGGCCTACTTGTACAGGTTCCACTCCAGTGGCCTATCTAGTGTGTCCATACTTGACTGCCATAAGGCTCAAGAGGATAAGACTCTGCGCATAAAAGACACTAGCGGTCTGCACCTCAACCGTGTACGCCCTAGTCACTCTTTCAGTGGTAGCGGAGCAGTGATCCTGGAAGACCCAGGTGAGCTCCTTTCCTAGGCATAGACTTGCTTGTGGGCAACCGGCCATGGATTGGATTGACGACTGGGAAGAGCCTGATGCGGATGTGGCTTATGAGCCAGCAGCCTATGTGAACAGGCATGTGAGAAGAGAACCAGCAGAGATAGCTATGACAACACAGGTCATTACAAAGGTGCCCCCATCTTATGATGGAAAGACTTCATGGTTTTCCTATGAGGATGCCATAGACGATTGGTGTGATATCACCGAGCTGGAGGATGAGAAGAGAGGACCAGCATTGAGAAACCAACTAGAAGGAGAAGCAGCTGTATACAAGCGAGTATTAGACAGAGATGCATTGAAGGCGAATGATCCACCAGGAGCAGGAGTAGAATACTTCAAACGAGTACTACGTCCATATTTTGTGAAAGGATCAACCAATGTATTCCTGTATAGGTTTATGCAATTCGTGCGCTTCAATCGCGGATCAGCTGATATGATGAAGTGGATGACAAGATTTCAGATTTTACTCCATAGGCTTATGAGCAGTTGGATGGACATGTTGGATCCAGTAACACAAGTACATCCTCAGGTACAAGCTCAGATGCAAGCAGATGCAGCGATGACTGGAGTAGCTCCAACAGCAGAAAGAATTCAGGAAATCATGCAGAATGTCAATGGCAATATGAGAATCCTTCATCAGAACGATTTTCCTTTAGGAGAGAATCTCATTGCCTTACTCATGCTGTCACTCGCAGATTTGTCTCAGGACCAGAGGAACACTTTGACCTCTTTGATGACACATCGTGGTAGAGTCCTGCAGCAATACACTACAACAGAGTTGAGGTCAGTCTTCATTGAGATGTTCTGCGCAACAAAGACTTCAGTAGACAATCCTCTGATGCAGCCAACAGGTGCTGGAGGTAGAAGATCATTTCTCGTACTAGACGAAGGAGAACTCGATGGTACATATGGCTATTGGGCCGAAGATGAAGAAGATGGAACAGAAGGATTCCTAGATGCCCTAGACGATGTCTTTTGGGTATATGATGAACAGAATTTCTCTTGGTTCCAGAGGAGATTCCAAGGAAGAAGAGCCAGAAAAGGCAAAGGAAAAGGTAGAAGAAAAGGAAAAGGAAAAGGAAGATCAGGCCGCAGATTTTTCAGACCTCGAGGAAAAGGAAAGAGACGAGGTAAAGGCCATTATGCTGATGAGCAATCAACAACTTATCCAGATGAGTATTTTGAAGAGAATCCTTATGAGGACTCTTGGGAGTCAAACCAAGCAGCATATGATGCTATTCTTGCCGAAGATATGAATGACTATCTTCAAGGAGAATATGAAGATGCCAATGACTTTTGGCAACAGCTTGAAGAAGCATGGTTTTCCCACAAAGGAAAAGGAAAAGGCAAGAGAAAAGGCAAGAAAGGAAAAGGAAAAGATAAAGGAGATGGCAAACAAGATGCAAACTATGCAAATCAACAACAGCCACGTTCTTTACCTGCACCTTCAAGAACTTCACAAGCATCAGGAAGCAACCAAGGTTTCTTTGCGCATTGTGTGACAGCAGCAGCTGAAGTCCATGACAGTGAGGTGGACTTGCTGTCAGGCATGATGACCTCATGTCAAGATGAAGCTGACTGTAAGGTCAACAATGGTGAGACGATCTTCGATGGCATGAGTGCCCCTGTGAGGTACTCTTTGTCAAAGGAGATGC